GCTCTCTTCGAGATCAGAGACGTCGCTCGACCATGGAACGGTCCGTTCTCCAGGCCGGTAAAATTGTTCAAGTTGAAGTACAGCTAGCTAGCAACGTGCCAACGACCGATATTTTTAGTCCTCCCTGCTTCTGCCCATCTGTCTTCAAGTTTGGGTTTCCTGGTCGTTTTAGAAACGAGACGTACCGTCGAGACGGCGCGGTTCGTTCCTGTCCTCGGAGCCAACAACCTGGACGAATTGGTGCATATTGCCATGGACACTTTACGCTTTCCAGTCACGTTTCATCACTGAAAGTTCACTTCAAAGAAAGTGCTTCGAATTACATGCAAATTTGCCGCTCCAGAATATTCCGTCTAGTAGTCGTTCTTCCAGTAGAGGCACTACTGTTAGTAACCACTCTACTTATCGCGGACACCAGAGCTCGTTCTCGTGGAAATTTTCCTATTTTCCAAGAGGAACGTGTCTGCAGTTGTTCGTCGAAGACGTGCAATCAGGAAGTTCGACGTGAAGAGGACAACTCTCGTGGCGGAGTTTCTCGAGCACACGCACGTGGCTCCAGGCCGACTGACGAGATACACGCGCGAGGAAGTATCAACAGAGGTTGAGAGGAGTGGCTAGCAAGCCAAGCGGAAGTGGAGGGTGATTCTGCGAGAGCCACGGTGGTGGGGTGCACTTCTGATACGAGGGTACTCCCGACGAGAGATGTGACTTTCGATTATCGATAACGATTCGAAACAATTCGTACTTTGTCGATGCAGTTTTCTAATCAACATACCGATATTATCGATATCGGTTGTGCCGATACTCGAAGCGATGCGTGACCGAAAATGGACGTCGGGGTGGACATTTATCTCTTATAAGGACAACGCGTCTGTGTATTTACTTTGAACGTACGATGATGAAAGCGCCGGAGAAGACTTCTTTCTTCAGGCTGAACAATCGTAGATCTCGCCAACGTTTCAGGAGTGTCTGTAACGAGAGAGTGATCTCCCGCGAAAGGCCACGATTGTACGATGTGTTTTAACGTGGTCGTTACGGAACGCCGTGGTTCTAGGATATGGGTCACTTGCGACGCACCTCTTGTGAAATGGTAATAAGAGGCACGGGACAAATGTGGAAGTAACGCGAGGTTGTGCCTACAAATAACCGAGATGATTCAGTGACGAGTCGATTGTAATCTTGAATAAATACTGTACATAATGTCTGCTGTTCGCTTCAAACCTATTCGCATGCTTCAGGGATTGAGGAGGTGAATTATTACTGACGTAACTAGATAAGATTCACGATGTGTCTACTGCTAAATAAGTCCTGGGGAAATAGGGACGTAGGTCGCAGGATATTACTTCGTCCTAAAAATTGACAAATACACAAATACTTTTATTCGTAAACACACGAGTCGAAATAAATAAATTTCCTATTGTAAGACTTCCTATTGCGGTGTCCTCGGAGAGGCGCTCCGAGCCCGCATATTCCGCCAGCTCTGCCCACGGATCCGCGTACTCCAGCAGCAGCGATTCTCTTTCGCGGGTGGTCCGCGTTCGGAACAAGGCGGAGTCTGGTCCCGGGGAAACATTTGAATGCTATAAATAAATATAAATAAATTGATTTGCCGGCATTAGCATAAGTAGTCGGCAGAGGCTCGAGTAAGCCCGTCTGCGGCTCGCGTCTCTTTGCTGTCTACATGTACCCCCTTCCCCGTCTCTCTCACCAGTGCGGACGGTGATTTATATCGATGTCCCTTAAGTTCCAGCGGCATTCACCGTCCTCTCGTCCCTTTAACTTAAAAGGACACAGGACTACGATCCCGGGACGCGAGTCTGTCTCGTCTCCCGGTCGCTCGCGTGGGAATTAATTCCGAAACCATGAGATTCTTTTTTCCGTGAATGGTACTGTTTGAACGGGGACGATAAGAAGGGGTAACAGGTTCGAATGTACAAGCTTGATACTAATGTACCGTGCGCGGTATAATTTCCAACACGTCGGTAGCCACGGATTAATGTTTCATTACGAGTGTTTGATGTTCCTGGAAACGAAAGTTCGGAGATCGCTGAAGAATGCTCATGGATCGTGTTCGGTATCAAGGCCATCCACGAGAAGGGAACACGGTCCTTGTTTCTGCTATAAAATCAGTGGCCTTAAGTGGCGCAATTCGTGGCCAGTTATCTTCTCCAAAATCGAGTAATTTCGTGTAATCTGCGTGGAGGTTGGGCGTGGTCGGACCGCAGAGATATTTCGGTAGGGAACGGCGTGTGTGTCATTAGTCGAATCTTTCGACCCTGTTCTATCTCCTCTTGTCCAGTCCCGTTGCCGGAAGAAACAACCTGTGAATTACGTGGTCGCTTTAGAAGGTAGCTTGTTGCGTAAAATTGATGTATCGAACGGACTGGCACCCTTTGTTCGTTACAATATGGATTCCAAATGTTCGATATAGTTATTAAAGTGGAACTTGTGTTTGGAGTGAATCGAGTTCCCTAGTTTTACTCATTAGTAAAGCCATTGGTGTCGACAGGTAATGCTAGGATCAAGTGGCTTTTGAAAATATGGGGACTTGGAAATTTAAGATTTTCCAACTTATAAAATACATAAAAATTGAGAGGTAATGTTACTTCAATGCTGCTGTTATAGTTGTACGGTGTACATCTCCCACATGCATAGTTAGATTATTTTTAATCTAAAGCGTTGCGTTAGTTATCGTGACCGCAAAAATGTCACACGCTCGTGTTATCGCACGAAATAGTGCATCATGCATGGTTTAATTAACTAGAATTCGTTGTTGCACCAAGCATTCTTTCTTCGTGACTTGAATTACAATTGAAATGGCTCATATATCGGGCGCGGTCTTGATTCGAGTCCCAGGGGAATTAATTCCGAAACCATGAGATTCTTTTTTCCGTGAATGGTACTGTTTGAACGGGGACGATAAGAAGGGGTAACAGGTTCGAATGTACAAGCTTGATACTAATGTACCGTGCGCGGTATAATTTCCAACACGTCGGTAGCCACGGATTAATGTTTCATTACGAGTGTTTGATGTTCCTGGAAACGAAAGTTCGGAGATCGCTGAAGAATGCTCATGGATCGTGTTCGGTATCAAGGCCATCCACGAGAAGGGAACACGGTCCTTGTTTCTGCTATAAAATCAGTGGCCTTAAGTGGCGCAATTCGTGGCCAGTTATCTTCTCCAAAATCGAGTAATTTCGTGTAATCTGCGTGGAGGTTGGGCGTGGTCGGACCGCAGAGATATTTCGGTAGGGAACGGCGTGTGTGTCATTAGTCGAATCTTTCGACCCTGTTCTATCTCCTCTTGTCCAGTCCCGTTGCCGGAAGAAACAACCTGTGAATTACGTGGTCGCTTTAGAAGGTAGCTTGTTGCGTAAAATTGATGTATCGAACGGACTGGCACCCTTTGTTCGTTACAATATGGATTCCAAATGTTCGATATAGTTATTAAAGTGGAACTTGTGTTTGGAGTGAATCGAGTTCCCTAGTTTTACTCATTAGTAAAGCCATTGGTGTCGACAGGTAATGCTAGGATCAAGTGGCTTTTGAAAATATGGGGACTTGGAAATTTAAGATTTTCCAACTTATAAAATACATAAAAATTGAGAGGTAATGTTACTTCAATGCTGCTGTTATAGTTGTACGGTGTACATCTCCCACATGCATAGTTAGATTATTTTTAATCTAAAGCGTTGCGTTAGTTATCGTGACCGCAAAAATGTCACACGCTCGTGTTATCGCACGAAATAGTGCATCATGCATGGTTTAATTAACTAGAATTCGTTGTTGCACCAAGCATTCTTTCTTCGTGACTTGAATTACAATTGAAATGGCTCATATATCGGGCGCGGTCTTGATTCGAGTCCCAGTCACGTGACCCGGAGGTAACCGAACGCTTCCGAAGTACTCAGTAGCGTACAAAAAACTGTACCCTTATGTTTCTTTTTATTTTATTCTTTTATTTTGTAAAAATACAGCAGTAGTATTACATAATACGCAAATATGTTCCCTATAATGTACTTTATTTATAAATATGATAATATTGTTAAAGAGAGTTACGACCTTTTTACATATTTTTTATTCAGTATCAATGATGCACCCGTGATTTAAAGGAGCTTAGGATTCTATTTTTCTCATTTTATGACTAAACAACCATAAATTTATTTAATTTTGCTTGGGACGCAAAAAATATTTGCGTCGTCAGCCCTGACCAATGCTGGTCGGTTCAGTGGCGGTGTCCGTTGTAGGCGTGGGCAGTTACAGTAATTAAACGTTGTATTTAACGTGTGTTTTTTAATTTGTATAAAGTGATCAGCTATTCCTGATAGAATGGCTTACGAGACGAGTTTTCGTATTTTGTTGGCAGCATTATTTGTTCTCTGTTGTATTCAACAAGGTAATTTATATTGCTCTAAACCGAAACTTTCCTCTCAATCCTAACCTTCAAATAATTTTTAAATATAAACTTTATGATTTCAAAGATGTACTTTTCACAAATTTATTTATACCACCAATATAACAACGATATGAATTAATTGCTTGTTTAATTTCTACATACATATGTTCAAGTAAACAATATTTTAAAAATCAGTGTTATATTACACTGTAAACAAAGGGTAATGGTTGGTCTGTTGTGTTTTTACAGGATTGACTATCAAATGTTGGGTGTGTAGATCAGATCAGGATCCAAAGTGTGCAGATCCCTTTGACAATAGGACTGTACCAATTACGGATTGTAAACAAGAACCGGAATTAGAGCATTTACAAGGAGTGAGGCCTACTATGTGTCGTAAGATTCGCCAAAAAGGTGTGTTGATAAAACAACAAGCTTGTGTTTATGAAAAACATTGGGAATAATTTTTGTCATTTATCATTTGTTTCTCTTAGTCAATGGTGTATGGAGATACTTTCGCAGTTGTGCTTATATGGGAGAACCTGGAATTGCAGGGGATGAAAGATTTTGTCTTATGAGAACAGGAACATATAATATATTTATGGAGTATTGCACATGCAATAGTAAGGATGGCTGTAACACTGCATCCTATAATCATGGAAGTTTGTTGGGCTTGGTATTAGGTTTAGTAATTTCATTGAGATACATACTTTGTCATACTTAACAGACTTAACCAAAGATATATTGGATTAACAGATTGGTAAATCTGAGTAAGCAATAGATATTTCATTATACATTTTTACAATATAGAATTCCGTCCGTACTTATTAATCGACAATCTTATGATCTGAACTTCAGGGAGATAGAATGCTTGGATTGCAAATTAGGGAATGTTTTATAAAAAATGTTTGTATCGTATATCATTGAATAACTTTTTTACTATAAAGTGCCTATTCGTGTCTTCATAGAGAAAAGATGAATAGAATATTTCTAAGGCATTTTTTAGCAACTATACAATACCATAGGAGTACATTTTATATCTTTTTTAAGGAATAGTTTACTTCAGATTATTCCATTCTTTGATAGATCTATATTTTTTTTAATATAATATAATTTTAAAATGGAAGAATATGCTTGTATTATACTTACAATTAGTTCTCAGTTTAGATTTGCTTAGTACAAAATACTAAAATGCCCATCTACTGAAATGATGGTAACATCATACCATAAATAAGACTGTTAATACCGTCCATTTTAAAAACCGTGAATCGAGCGTTAGTGCGAAATGATGTCGCTTTTTATATTTTTATATGTACTTTCTGAAAGTGTAGTTAGTTAACGAACGCCAGACAAGTAAAAATACAATTACTTACAAAAATGCATTACTCTTTTGTGTATTTTGTAAATGTGTATTATAATAGCAATAAATAAAAATGCATTAAGAACGTTACAACGTGTGAAGCAGTTTAAATTATTCTTTATATATAATAACAGGTGTATTACATATAAAATATAGTTGTTATACAAATATGTGCGTTAATAACATTGTAAATACAATTTTTTTGGTGTAATTGTTTAAGTCTTAAAAATATTTGCTGAAGTATTTTCGTATAAAAATACATGTGTATACATGTAGCAAACGGTAAAAATGTTACAATATTTTTTTCTTCTAATGTTAATGCGCTTAATATTGTTTAAAAAGAACTCGATAAAATTGCAGTCGAAACGATGAGCAACGAGTTTATCGTTATCAGTGCAAATAAACATCGATATGTAATATAACACGCTATTTGATCCTACGTACACAGAAAATACTTTCTCGCTGGTCTTATCTGAACGATGTAATCTTCGCTTAAAATAATATAAAATCAAATGTACATCGTAGCTTATTTTAACGCTAAAAATTGCGATTTTTTTCTGGCACAAAAAGTGAGTCTCTTCATTTCGAAACGATTCACATGACTGATTCGTTAGCAACTAAAAAACTTTTTCACAGTCCATGTACAAAGGAGAGCATAGTAGGCTCCTTCAAAATGGCGACGTAGGAGACCTCTCGTTGGTTTTTGAAATTCGGAAATCTTCGAATTTAATACTTAAAGTTTTCGGATCATTTTCTAAAATTCTAAAGTTCGCACAGTTGATCCCTAAAGTGCAACAATAGGAAGGCTAATCCGTTTTCAAAGGAAACCCACATTGCACCCGAGCGTACAGTACGTTGACAGGCACTTAATTTATTGGACGGTTCCGTTATTCCGATCCCTGACAGACACTCAGTTTCTATCGTTTGTCTCGGAATCGAGGACGGTTTAACTGCATGAATGATTAATATATACAAAAAAGAAACGTGTACCTTTGTACAAATTGGTTAACAAAAAAGGAAAGGAAAAACTGAGCAAAAAATCAATCTTGCGAGAAATATATTGACTTTGCCGTCCAAGGGTTCTTTGGAACAGCACGTATTATCGATCCGTGCTTAAAATATTTATAAGATTCGCAAGAATCGAAAGTAGGTTTACGCGCGAGGAAAAACAGTAGAAATCGAGAGGTATATTAGTCAATCGTTACCATTGACATGATTAGAACTTTTTCGATAAGAGAGCGAACATCCTACACCAAGTATCGAGTGGTTTTACGAAAAGTGAAAATTTAAAAGTCTGGAAAAGTGACGGATTTAGAAATATGTCAATGGGAAATTTAAAAATTAGTTTCCCACACCCTATGTCCCTTACGTTGCGTGTGAAGGGCGATATCTTGGTGGGTGTCACTCCGGTTTCTACCTTGTTAAACAAACACGCGTTACTCTTCTCATTCGAATGCCTGCCATTTCATTATCTGCTGTCCTGGTTTCGCCAAAGCCTGTTTCCACTGTTCGCCATAAGGTCCTCCTACGTCGGGTCCGATCGCCAAGTGGCCAACAGTGGTTTTCTTGCCTGAAATAATTATACATGTGCAAGATTTCGGTATTTTGGATAAACGAAATTGTACTCGTAGCTTACCCATTTTGTTTTTCGAGACAAATTTAATAACGAAGCTGACGTTTTTCAGAGCTCCTTGATAAGGATTATCCGCCATCACTCTCGCCATGTCCGGTGCAAATTTCATGGACACACATGGCGCGAAACGGTCACTCTTCCAGAAATGGGTGACTCTTCCGTTATCGACAACGGATATCTTTATGTACATTTGCCCTCTGAGGGCCTCGTGCTCGTGCATCGTCTGCAACGAGCATCTCAGACGATGCAGAGATAGTATCAGTCGCTCGCTGCCTTCTTCCCTCTTGTCGCTCTTCTCTTGGCACAGTGACAACTCGACTTGACCCTTCTTGTTCTCCCTCTGCAATTCATTACGAGACGATTAGATATCGTTCTCTTGAAATGGTCATTAACCTTTTGTTACTAAACGTGACTATTGTCGCTCTGTCGTGATCCCTTGAAAGATTGGGGTCAATCGTGACCTAGACCTACGAAACGAATAGTGACCTCCAAATTAAGAGTAAATTCTGTTACATCTATTGCTAATTAGCGTATCGACAGTCGATAAAAAAGAAGGGGAAACGTATGCAGAACCACTACGTCTAGAACTGCGATAACAACCGTAAACGTCCAATTGACTTTTGACGAAATAATACCGAGCTATATTTAGCGAAGCGCAATCCACTAAATTTGTCGAGATTGTAAATGACAAGAGATCGCTTCATTGCTGACATTTACCCTCTCTTCAGCTCCGGAAATGCCACTTGTGATAGGTCGCAGTGGTCTCCACATGTCTCCGGTAGACACGTCACTCGCGTGTTTAGGTTTCACTGGTTTATTAGTAAAATTTTTTGGATCCAGAGAAATCGTCGTTGCACCAACGGTGCGTCTTTTGTCGTACATTCTTCTCTCCACCGGGGTGGTTTCCGTGTTCTTCTCGGACGTTTTGCCGAATATCTGGCTGAACAATTTGTTCTTCGTCGGCTCCTGGTTCTCCGAAGAGGCAGCTTGGCCATCTTTCTTCTTACCGGCCTTCTTTGGAGATTCCTTGACGGGAGACGAGGTCTTGTCCTTATCCGCCTCTTTCTTATCGGTCGCTATCAAGGGCTTGTCCTCGAGGATCGCGTACAGGGTCGCCACGATAAATCTGGACCCGTTGATCTCCTCTTCAATCACTTTCGTCTTCCCAAATTTCTGTTTAGTCTCCTTACGCAGAAGGAACGTGAATTCCTCGTTCCATTGCGGCCAAGACTCGTTCTTCGACGTCGTCTCGAACTTCTCCTTTCCTGGTATCAGCTTCACCTGCAACGCAACCGGGTTACTTTCTTTTCTGCTCGACTTCTTTCGTAAGCAAATACTTTATTGTAAAGTGCCCGCTAACCAAGTGCTGTTCAGCAAAAAATCTAACGATCGTTCAACACGATTGGTTTCTATCTTTTACGCGAATGAAATCTTGTTTACAAAATAAGGGTCAGGGACTCGAATTCTCTTTGTTCGATTAAATTTGTCGAGGAGTAATATTGGGAAGAATATGCGCTGTAAATGTAGGCTCCTTCGGACTGGTTACGAGACTTCCTGTTTTCTTCATTATCTGACATTATGTACTTCCTCTTTGGATCTATGCATCCTGGAACGCTAAGATCTAAACGTAATTTCCCGTGAAAGTTATTCAGGGTTAAAATCAAGAAATTTTGAACAACCTTAATTTTTGAACTTTTTACATTTCCAAAATTATCAAAAGTTGGCATGGAAATGGCATGGAAATTTGATCTTATTAAAATCCGTTGTCCACTTCTAATAAAAATTCTAGTTACGTTAATTTCCCTTTATTATTCATCGACAAAAGCGAACTCAGCGCGCGTTCAGTAATCTCAACCTCTTTTTAACAAATAGAATTACACGTTGCAATTAATACACTTCACGCTTGTATCGTTCGGAGATAAGGCCCATTCCCACACATCGCGCCAGGCATTGTCTCCGAAGATTCGTGAGTCAATAAAGAAGACTCGAGTGGGCGCAGAACCTTCGGCCGATTATTCTACGGACTTACATAACGCGAGATAGCACCGTTAAAGATTATAGTTCGTATATATACCTTGACAACATAACTGTTGACGCGAGTGAAGCCGAAATTCTGTGGCAAATGTCGAGCACCGAGCACCGTCACGTACAGCGCCTTCTCGTTGATCGAATGAACGATCCTAATACCAATTTCCGGTTCCAGATTCACCGTGCGATCCAGAGGAGTGGACACCGTCTTCAGACCGGTGTCGATGAAACTTTTGATCCTCGCCAACGCCATGCTCTCGAAATTATCCTCATCTGGTGAATTCTACGAATCGGTTTATCGATCTTCACTGCAAACAGAGTTAAAGCCACTTCAAATATTTCAGTCCATATTCTGCGGACATGTCGATGGTTCAGAACACAAATATTGTACGTCCACTTTATACGTTTTCATGAGGTTTTAGGCAAACCTCTTTATCTTTATATCTTTATCTAAGCAAAAGTTTACGTCATGACAAGTTAAAATCGTAAATTTTGTAGCTTAAAATAAGAAATCTAAGAGTCTGAAGATTACGCAAACTCAAATGTACAAACTCGCATCGATAAAAAAATTCAAATGTATAAACTCAAATTGATAACAAATGGACATGTAGTCTATGCATTGTCGATAGTGCACTAAAAAGCGATGAATATTTAGCGAAGGCAACAGAAACTATTAATAATCGAAGAAGTCTAGCGACGCGATTCGTCCTCGACAGCTTCGTGAATTTTAGTCAAAAATATTTTTGGTCGAACTGCGCAACCTATCTGATACATGGGCCATCTAAAAAGCTTCCTCAAAATGTTTATTCGTTATCTTGGTCGTGTTTTAATCGATAAATACTAGCCACGTACTTTTACTGCCACAAAGAAACGTCGACGATCGAACTCTCGTGTTCGGCGCTATAAGCCGGGATTCTCAACTTGTCAGGAGGGTTGCAAATTTTTCATGAGTCACTATTGTTATACTTTCACAACTTACATTAGTATGCTTTGCCAGAGCAAAAAATTTGGATTGGTCAAAAAAACCTTCTGCCTTGCGTTGTATATAAAGACACGTGGTGATCTAGCGCGTGGGAATACACAGTTTGTGATAATATCATAACACCGTATAAAAGTATGAAGTATAAAAGTGGCAATATAACAAAAGTCCACTATAGCAATTATATATTCTATGAAAATATAGAAATACTTCGTGTAAAATTTTCACTAGGATTTTCAATTCCTGTTTATCGTTACCGTATTCCATCAGTGTCTATAACCCTAATTCGCCATAAATGAAAGAATGCGCGAGAAGGGACGAATTACGGGTTAATTGCCTATCATAAAGAGGGTCACGACTCGAAAAACCTTGCAAAACTCTAATGTACTGTTTTGTGCAGCGTGTCTCGCGAAATAGCCGATAACGCGAATGGAAACCGAGCCACGATCGACGTCGATGAGTAACGGTAAACTTCCAAGAGACTGGCCGGCGATCGTGAAGCTTCGCGATCAGCCTCGAGCCGCTTCGATCTCGGGTCCCCAGAACGTGTTCCTAAGCGAACGTCGATTCATTCGACGATCTTGCAATTTTACGCGTCGGAAGTCGATCAAACTTTCTCCGATGAAGAGAAATGTACCGACGTTGTCACCTGTCCGGAGATCTCGGCGGGACGAAAGGCCGCCTGGAAACAGCGCACCTACCATAATCGCGATGATCAGGCCTGTTGCGTCGTCTGTTAAAACCGAACACGCCTGATAAACCTTCACGGGTGTACGTCGTTGAGAGTTTCTTCGACGAAGCGTCAGACCGTCTCCATGACCACACAGCCTAAACGTAAACAGGTAGCTGGGCCTTCTTTCACTGTGTGCGCGCCACGCCATGCGGTCCTAACTCGATGCCGAACTTGTTGCACATCTTGACGCGATTTAACAACGACGTCACCGACTGCAGAGGAGCTGACCAGAAACGTGCACGCGTGTGCTCCGAATCGAAAACAATTATGCGTTTAACTGTCACCTGCACTTCGGACGACGCGCTGCCGTGGTATGCGGCTCGCTGTCTAGCGTGGGTTCCCTTTATAAGAGAACCCGCCGCTCTTCAGGGACGAACGCTCAGGGGGTTCTGTCTAGGCACCCGACACAGATATGCTGCAGTTGATTTTGGAAAATTTCGTGGGAACTGTGTTAGCTTGGACGGATACAAAAATATGTGTTCATAACGTTTTCAATTTTTAACAATTTTTTAACTTGCCTCAGTAAATTTGTTTTTGTTTTGAAGTACATTCGATGACTTACTTTTGATATTTTGTAAAGAAACGAGTTTATAGATTTGACGATAGTGTGCGTGGTATGAAATAAATATTTTTTTTTATTTTACGTGTGGGGTGTGTATAATAGAGTTATGAGTGGGTGCTCCTGATGGGTGAGTACGGTACTGTCGCAAAAACTGGCCAGTCGTATGGAAGTAGGGACTACTTGAACATTTCATCCTATAATCTTTATAGACTTTATTCGTGACGACCAAAGCGCACACAAGGTCGGGTGCTCGTGTAGAAGAGGCGTGTGTGTGTATTTGAACACACGCCGGGTATGAGTAAATACGACGCAATGAATGAGATTGTATGGTTGCAGTGCCGTACACAAGGAAATAAAACCCGGTTCATATGCAAAGTATGACCGAAAATTTTGACTCTATCAACAAAAATCTGCGTTAATAATATATTTTATTTAAATTGTTAATGTCTAGTATAATTAGTCTCTTCACTTTTTCATTATTTCTTTATCTCTTCCGCTATAACTGATGTATATCTGATTCATAAATTTTTTGATTTATAAAAGATACAGTTGGAAATCTGTAGAATCCTATCTTATATTTTTTAATACCTTATACGAAACATCGGTGCAATCGATTAAATACAGGAGTTTAAAATAGCATTGTAGATCTCGTTAACCTTTCATCTGTCAATTGAGGGTTAAATAGTGACCAAAGGGAATAGATTCTATTATATTTGTACAAACGTTTGAGGGGTATGTTAGAAAAACCGATCATGGATCAATCTAATGGAGGAGTGCACGATTGAGTTTAACGCGCAGTAAATCTAATTGTAATGTGTAACAATATCGCATAAGCAACAGAATGGAATGCGGCACAGTGCATTGTGATGCATAAAAAGCGTATCAGAGACATCTGAATAAATGTGTCAGGTACGATGGCAGATGAATCTTTCAATTTGATCCTTGTAACTTTGTTTATTCATTTTCTGCAGGAGTAGATAGAAAACATCGCGCAATTCTCTGTGTCGACTGTGCATTCAAAACATATTTTCATACGTTATCATAAGTCCTTCTATCATTTTTTCTCTTTTAATTATTAAACACTCAAATCTTGCTTCACTTTATACAGTAACCAATAAGATCTCTATAGGTGGCTGTACATTTTATGAAACTTAAGATGGTTAGGACTCTTTGAATAACAGTAGACTCCTTTTATTCTGACACGTATAAAGAGAAACAGAAGTCCCTCAATTTTAAAATTACCGAAATTAAAATATTTTAGATTTTCCGTCACGAACATTCAACAACCCCCTAATGGATTGGGGGTTCATTTTCAACCCATAATGGACATTTAAATGACAGATTATATAAGTGACTAAAGTTGAAATTTATTAGAGTTAGAAGTTATATTTAAAATAAGCGTAGGGTTGCTTAAAAAAATAGAGGTTCGCGCCATCACAAATCCTAATACGCGTCCGATACGCACTTAGAATATTCTTCCATGCATATTAAACTACACTGATTGCACGTGATGATATGCAAGGATACATTTGACAGATCGGCCTTCGATATTAAGCAACTTACTTTGTTGGCGCGCTTAGAACAATCAGGGAAGTTTGTTGTTGAAACAGAAAGAAGTTGCTCCAAAAAAGTAACTCATACATTTCTATTCCGAACGACTGAACTTGTTAAACTTTTGGCAACAAGAGGCAAGAGAAACAATTATATTCGAACTTCATATTGAAATTTATATTCAGAACGCAATTACTGCTGTGATTTAACACTTGAAAAATATATGAAAGACAACAGTTTCTTGTAAAGTAGTTTATTTAAAGAGTTGGAAGCGTTCTTATAAATGTTTCAAAACTTTTATGTTCGCGCCAGCTGCCTGGAGTATCGCTACCGCCATTTAGCGGAGAATGTTGGAAATAGTAAACTAAAAAATTGTGCACAAATTTTGCAAATAAACTCCTTTTTTCAAAAGGAAACATCATATAATAAATATACAGCATATTAATTAATAAAATCGATGTTAATTGAGTTTTTATAAAAATTGAACAAGTGGCGCCATCTCTCCGGCGAACAGGGTGAACTACACACTTTTGAAACACTACTTTCATTAGTTCTCAACTTCCGCCGCTAGATGGCGCTACCTGTCCCATTTTAAAAATCCAATTTTTACACAGCTGTCGCTAGAAAATGTAAATTTTAAATACCACATTGCTTTTGTTATTTATCTTAATTCAAGTGTAATCGTACTTCTTAGGTTATTTTCATTTGTGTCCTACTTTTATTAAACACAATTTCAAAAATGGCATACGATACAGTAGAAAGGTTTCAAAAATTGATCACTCAAACTCCTGCTGATGTTGGTCCAGGAACTTACGACGTAGCAGATGTATCTTGCCCTCAAAGACACCTTGGTACACCTGTCGATCTATCGTATTTCAAGTGTAATAAAAAGATTAATTTACAGCTGAATTTCATCCCTTTCTGAGTGGAACAAAGAGACAGACACTTACTGTATCTAAATATGCGATGGAAGTACCTGGACCGGGGACATATTGCATAAAAGAACCACAGAAACACATTCCAGAAAGTAGTTCCTAAATACCTTAAAAACAGAATCTAATTGTAACGAAGCAAATAATTATAGGGAGGCGTCAGTATCGATTTCACCGAAGCCAGGTTTAAGGCGAAGGTGCATCAGGGACCAGGTCCGACCGATTACAAAGTGAAAGAAGATGCGTTAAAGTGTAATAAGAAAAGAACTCATCCGGGAACTTGGAGAGGACCAGCCGGAAAAGTAACAAGTTCATTCAATTTTTCGATCATGTAATAATCTTTTAACTTGTATAGTTATGGTTAACTCGTCCACCCCGTTCGATTCTTCCTGCGCCCATCTCAGTTCCTGACAAACGCTACACGGGTTACCACATCGACGAGTATGGTGTCTTCAAGAAAAATCCTCCCCTTAAACACGAGCCGACTGTCTTCTACAACGTTCCTCGAGAAGTATTCAATTCTCACGCTAATAATTTTATGACGATGATGTTCTCCAGTCATTTACATATTTTAAATGAGGACCGTAGATTAATTTCTCTTGGCTACCATTTGTATCAGTACTTTTAATCATTTTAAATAAGCAGTCAGGTAATGAATAAAATAAATCAAGCTACCAATAAAATATCAGACGTCGAACTTGCACGTTCAAATTGTTACGAGACACCTAATATAAAATTCTCAGGAGACAAATATGACAACATCGCTGTACAAAGGCAACTTCTGGAGCAGAAAGACAGGTAGAACTAGTCCACGAATCAGTTCAACCCCAGGTCCCGGAGATTATGAGCACAAAAAGATAAAAACAGCTGCCGAGTTGCAGAACGAAAAAATAAGGGAAGCTAAAAGGATGTCGTCTAAGCAGTTACGTTTTCTCGACGTCATGCAAAGGAGGATAATTCGCGAGGTACCAATTTGTTAGGGATTCATTAGGCAGCGTTAATTGAAGATACTCAGAGAGTACATTTGGTAGAACCTTCCAGCCCCTAACAGTTATCACGTGAAGGGCTCGTTCGACAGGTTTCTCAAGAATTGCAAATGCGACCCTTACGCCGTGGAACCACCCCCCTTTGCACACACTGCGAAGGTAAACTTATGAATAAATTCAGACAGTGCGTTTGAATAATTCGCTTTAATAATTTGACACCGTGAATAGTGGTAGCGAAATATTTGACGGTAAAAGAAAAATGTTTGTCAAATATTCTTGTTTAAATATCAATTGTGTTATGATTGAAATCATCTATGTATGATCGTGGATCTTGGTAGAATTTTTCTTGATTAATTTCTTGCGAATTGATTTTTATAAATTGTTTTAGAGATTCGACGGTAAGGAATCTGACATACCAGGTCCAGGAACATATGATCCTAAGAATCAAACAAAATGTATAGCTTCAAATTTTCTTGCTCCATTTGGCACTTATGCCAGTCGTTTCAAGAAGGTGTTAGAAAATGATGAACCAAGTACCAAATCAAAAATTTTTACTTTACTGTAAATTCGAAATGTTGGCATATTATCCAGCAAGCTTTTCATTCCAGGTCCATGCGATTACCATTCGAGCGTCGGCAACTTAGCGTACGAGTCGCAGAAGCGTTACAAGTACAGCTACTTAAAACCACCATCCATATTTTTCAATCAATTCTCGATGGTGGAAGAAGATCACTATGTTCCGAATTTTGTAGAAACGATTGAAGCGAAGAAGCATGCGGTGTACCATGCTGCTTTTAAATGTAAAACGGAGAGATTCCCCACAATTGAGGTATATTGAACCCTCTTATTAGTTACTATAATATACTTTTCAAATATTCCACTTTATAATAATCGCTAATTGTAAGAACTCGATCGATACATGATGAGAGATCTTTTCTTCGAGCAACGTAAGGTTACGCACAGATGTCGCTACGCGTAGAATCTTAATTTAAAGGCAGTATTACCAAATTTTTAGTAGCAAATAATATTAGGATATAAGGATCTAGTTTTGTATTTTAGAAGTTTTTGATCGCATAAGGTTGTGATGTAAAACATAAGGATTCTTTTTTATTTTTATCTTGTTCTTTTAGTATACCATTTGCTCTAGGATTTAAGAGTGTTATATGTTGTATGTTGTATATTTTATATACAGTTATATACTTAGACATTTAAGAGAGAATTTGTATATGGACTTATGGGCCAGCTGTGGCCCCACGTCCTTTGTAATTTTTTAATAAAAAAGAAAAAAATAATTAGCTGAGAGTGTCCGTCGAATGGGCATTCGTGTGCAGGGTTTGTAGCGAGGTGCTAAGTCGTAGAAATTAAAAATTTTCAAGTCTGATATGCAAAGATGTGCGAATTTGAATGCATAGAAATTTGTAAATTCAGGGATGTAAAGATTTTGAGGTGCAAGAATTTAGGGGTGCGAGAATTCAATTGTACAAGAAGTAATTGATTTTTAATAGCATTCATAATATAGGTCTTAATTTACCAAAGCAACAGTTCTTTAACATATCCCATAATCAAAATAGACATCCTAATAAAAAGGACTCTTCATATAATCGAATTACCCTCGAATCATATACTGTCTCGTATAAAATCTCCAAGTGTCCGATCAGTTCCGACAATTAAGCGATTTCCGTCTCGATAATCCGATCGGCCGAGACAACGTCGTTCGATTCAGAAACGAAATGCAAACGTCGATGTTCGCGACGATCCACGTTTCGCGTACGAGGGTGATAGTAGACACCAGGGCCAGGGATTGGCTCGAATTTCCGGCTCAACGATCCGGAAGTGATTTCTCCGGGCTACGTCGGTCACGCGTCTCTACCGTGGAAATGACCTGCAGAGTATGGCGGCACGTCATTTCCGGCGCTGTCGAGTTACGACGTTTCCCTACGTTATGTAAATACCACCGAATTTTCACGACGTCGTCCTTGCACGTCGTTCTTATCCAGTGGATGTAAGAATTCGCGACGACGTCTTCTTCCGGCTTTTTATTGTCCTGTCGCGATAATTCTGTCCGAGGAAACGGGACGGATACGAGTTCCAATGGGATGAAAATAAAAATTCACAGAATGGAAGTTGTAACTTCTACGAGGAATATCCTCGTTAAAGTTCATTTGAAGCTAACTTCGAGGAAAAGAAGAACCGAGCTTGTCGCCGTTTAAGTTTGATAATAAAGACGCGAATCTCCTTTTAACTGATAGAATTCTTAAGCGTCTACAATCTCGTAACGACGTCCACAAAACACCGCGAGCCAATTTCCGCACCGAAGAATCATCCTCAAAAACGTTTAATGAAATCTCCGCGTGTCCCGTGAAACGAATTTCCACGACTCGATCAAAAGACGAATTTCACAGAAGGATTCTTTTCAGAAACCTCGAAGAACATTCGAGCGAACATGATCGTTGCGACTGTTTCAGCCTGGCCTATCTCTAGTTGCACCGATAGCGCGAATCCGCTTCGACGGTCTCTCGATTAACGAGCAAATTGGATCCTGGCGCTGAACCGCCCCAGGTACAGATGCATCGCTTCGAACCGCTGCCATTAATTTCGTCCTGGCCACTCCTGATTACCTTGCGTTTCAGGATTACCTGGCTCCGTCGTCTTTCCGGAAAGAATCCTTATAGATACCGTCTGACCACGGACTTACCCTTACTACTTGCTGCAACCTTCAACGATCTCATTAAACCAATCACCTGATCCTGGTTAAACATTTTCAATCTCTGCTACTCGAACTGAGTCAGCGAGAGGACAAATCCCTTCTGTTGGGTTTACATTGATTAAAGCCTCCTTAATGAAATCGGAAGATTAGTCTTTTTTCTTAGGAATGGATCTTGAGATGTGCTTTCGGATAGTTGGTGTTTCTGTTAAGGTAGCTTGTAGAAAGGTATCAATTCGTAGGGTGTTTTGAATTCTTTATATAGAATGATGATAGGAATCTACTATTACACTATCTATGACTGAATTTCTCTATCAAGAAATATATACTTGTTTAAGATATACTTATTCCCCGACCCGGTTCATATTCTTTATCATAGAATATTGCTTTATCCTGCAATAACTGCACGAACCACCCTTATTTCTAAACGTCCCTGTATTCCAAAAAGTGTACACAGCTGTATCGATGAAGATCGAGCGACCAGCTCGCGTATAAATCTAATCGACGCGGATCAATGGACCGCCTCTTCCTGGTTTCAAAAACTTCGTACCCTTGTTATTCAATATTTATAGGTGGACGTTCCCGATCCGGGTGCTTACGAGGTCTTAACGGCTTTCAAGGCAAATCGTGATCGATGCGATGTCCTCCGTCGACGAGCACCCTTCGGTTCTCGAGTCAGCCGATTGCCAAGGACGCAGGACGACAAGCACCCTACGCCTGGTAAGTTCATCTAAATCTCCCAGTCTTATGATTTTAACTATCGATTTATTATCAGATCCCACTTCTTACGAGATGGCTGGAGACATTTCGATGAACGTGAAAGGTGGCTTGATGTTTCTTCCCAGCAGTATCGATGAGGCTAAACCTGGACCTGGTCCGACGCATTACTGTGTAAGTTGTTAATATTTTTTTATTTTGGTGTAATTGTTACAATCTTTTTCACGAATGAAAATTTTTAACGATAGCTGGTTGAAGGACTTCAAGTTTGTTCCAAACATATTGGATAATAATGTACGCTTAGGGTATAAATTAATTTTGACATTTTTGTAGGAAATAGCATATTTCTAACATGGATATTGTTGCAAGAGAGAATGAATTTTTCTTGGACATATATCTCTCGTATCCGAACGTCCACACTTCGGAGGGTGTTCGAAGCGAAGGGGTCAATGTAGCGTGAAAAGGGAAACACGAGGATTTCTGGGACGTCGTTTCGCTCAGGATGAAACGAAAATCGAACTGGTTGTCGTTGTATTTTCACGTTGAAATTTCTATTCTGTTCGGTCTGTACACGTGCACGGTATTTACTTTGTTGTCACGGGCCAGGATATTGCGTGCTCGCGGGAATAATACCGGATACTTCAGATGGTGATGTATGAGCCACGTTACGAGAGATGGTTAGATGGGCCGGCAGTTCGTATTACCTCTGTCCAACTCTCTCGTTTCGTTGCTGTCCGTGCACGAAGTGGCTTCGTAAATAGTCCGAATTGAAACAGAAGTCTCTTTCCCTTCTTTCATCCTGTTTCGCGAAACGAACGTGTCAGGAAAACGGAAGCGACGTGCATATAAATTTCGAAACGTTTTTCTTTCAAATTACTTTGGGCACGGAGTCAGACAGTCTACTGAATCGAGATTCCGTGTTTATTTCATGCTTTCTTTTACCTTGTCACTGGACAAATTAATATTTTCTATCAACATGGGTTATGATAGAAAGAAGATGCGAAGTATTTTTCATTTGCAGATCCACCCTTATCACGCGTCTTCTATGCTGAAGAAATCATTCAACGTCAAGCTAGGAAAACCGAAAGTGATCAAAGAAATGATAGAGAAGGAGAAATCTAGAAAAGCACGGTGTCCTTGTACAAGGAAGACACTTCGTTGGTTCACAAAGTACGATCAAACAGTTTGTATCTAACTCGAAATTTTATACTGTAAACAAGTTTTAATTTTATTCATTTTGTTACCGCTTCTATATTTTGAACAATGAATTTGAACTTTCTAACTTTCCCTCGTATTTATTCGAAAGAAGCGCATTATCTCCGTCACTTAATTTTCTGTGAAGATTTACGGCACAAAATTTGATGCTTCAATTCAGAGATCTACTAATTATAGTTCAAAGTCTCTCTTCGAACGTGTCGCGAATGGAGGGAAAAACGAGTATCAGCAATGACAATTCCGTAAACGCTCCTCCCTCGTGGTCTGTTCATTAACACGCCATTATTATTCGCGTCGACTGTCGATGACAAGTTGCCAACTCGTCGAGCACGAATTTCCAAGCGAGTGTAATCGTTCGCGTTTAAATTTCCACGAACGTAGATCAAACACAGTGTGTCTCTCTGAGTCCCCGAAGATTTTCAACCTGAAGTGCGTTTCAGCGACTGGATGTGTAGTTCAGGTTGCATGAACGAGAATTTCGGTCGTTGTATCGCGCCGGCTTTTATAAATCATTGGCTCGTCGCGTAAATTATTCGACGACATTGTAAAAACGCTGATCGGCACTCCGGCGAATTCATTCGATTACCATGTATAATACAATCATTCGGCACACGGGCAAAAGGAAAATCGATGCGGGATTATGTGACGAGAACGAGTCCGAATCTGACGGAAGCAACGTCGACGTGTTCATCGACTCGTGGCACGAGTGCCCGAAGAGAATGGGTGCGCTCGTCGAAATCGGTATTACGCCATGTTGCTGAAATATGTCACGCGATATTTTTGCGCGCGACCATTTTGGCTTCTGGTTAAGCACGGATGAGAACGCGCGATGTTGTAGCGATATTGTATATAAATCGCATTAAATTTAGCAAATATTGTATCGAATTTTGCACCATTCTGCGGTGAATCAATAATACCTCTCGCAACGTTCGACTCGAGAAAAAAGACTTTCCGTAGCGGTAAATTCAGAGCCCCGTTTCTTCGTTTACGATTCGCGTCTACGTGAAAGAGCTTGCAAGTTCACGCCAGTTCTGTTTTGCTCGTCCGCCATCGTTGCTGGGTAATAAATACTTTAATTGCGAGAGGATGCTTCTCCTTTTATCTCCGCGAACCCCCTTCGGCGAAAAAAATCCTTCGAGGGTATTTAAAGTCTCTCTGTTACTTTCGTAATTACTCTTCGTTTCGCTCGGCACGACGGCAGCTAGAAAGAAAACACAAATAAAAGCGAAAACCGAGTACTACCGCGGTTATAGCGTTTTCCTTTCTCCGTAAGACGAGGATATTTATGCATCGCTGTTCTCACTGACGTACGCAATCTTCAGTAACGTGTAAAAAGTCTGCAACGTTTTGACCCTTCAACGTCTATTTGCGTTCCTTCAGACGCTGAAACATCATTTATGCATCGACTAGCAGTGTTCGTTTTGAAATCCCGCTGCAGTTTGCTTCTGCATTGACGTTTATTTTAGTCATCTGCTGGAATGAATAATGCAGTTTGTTCTTTATAAAAGTACGGGATATCAATTTCGAGAAACTGTCTCGCGTCTCCAGATATTTATGGTCGCAGATTTTCATTAATTATGCATATACGCGTTACCTGCATATGACGGTGAAGTGATTGACGTAACCGTGATTAAATTATACGAATGTATTTTAGGTGGAAACTTTATCGGATATCGCGAAGTGACAAGAATTTATAGACAAAATTGGAGCATTTCGTTGAACTGTTAATGCCATAATAAAGTAGGGCATTTAACAATAGAATGACGCGATGGAATTAAAACAGTTCTTAAGTGAAAAATGTATAAGTCTAGAAATATAAAAGTATTTTTCACATCGCTTGTACTATAATCATATTTCGCGAGTACAATGGCCCATTAGCTTATTAAGACGTGCACAGTTCATACGATACATTCTCGTTCAATTGTCAGCTCGTATTTCTGAGAAACCACTACAAACTCTTAAGAAAAGTACGATGCCCGAACGACCCAGAACAAAGACATCGCTTAAATAATTTATTATCGGTAATATTAATATAAAAAACGATAAGTCCAGCTGGGAACATTAACAGTCTCTAATTTCCTCGTATAATCGCGGTACTCGGCTTGTCACCGGGTCTTGGAAGCAATTCCGTAGATTCTTGCCAGGGAGGAATGCTTTGATCGTCGCTTCTGAACGTCACTCTAACGAGGGACGGCGAGTTAACCGCGGATTTTCCCGTTACTATAGCTTTCTCTGGTCGCTTTGAAACACCTTCCTCCGACACAGTCGAAACGACATTTGTCAAACGGTCCGAGCTTCATCGTGTCTCCTAGACAGACGTATCGCGACGCAGTTCGCAGCTCGAATATTCCGGACGCGCCATTGCATCGGCGTTACACGGTCGGATGCGGTCGTCGCCGATTGACGCGGGTCATTTTGCGGTCTGGAAACACAATGGAGTCTGGCTGGTAGATCTTGGTGACGCGAGCACCGGGATGTCATCTCTTCACCGTGAATTCGTCGACCTAGGTACTCTGTGATCGTTGGAAATTGGGGGAGGATAGTTTGGACGTCGCGTCATTTTTTCGTGATCTGAACTTTATCCAAGTAATAGAAGCAAGAGTATTCAAATTTTTCTTTTGATCATACGAAAGATACCAATCTCAAAGGTCGACACTTCGCGCATACGTTATCAAAATATTGTAAAGAAGACGGTAACACCATCAAAATGTAATCCAGCACAGATCCTACGAGAATAATCTGTGCGAAAAACATTTGGAGCTTGAATTTCACCCCACATCCCAGGAAAAAGTATACTTCAAAGAATGAAACGAACCGAATATCGTTATCTACCCTCGTCAAACCGAAATCCCGGGCTGCGAGCGAATCGCATTGCCTGATCGTCAATGCTCTCTGTATCCCACCGCTTGCCAGACAACGAACATCCGCATCTACTTCGTTCACCGGAGTGTCTCGACACGCGAGCCAAACACCCCATCGCGGCGCAAAATACGATCCAGCAGCGTTTCGGTGTGCGGCTCATCGACACGTACGCGGGCCCTGTTCGCTCGGTGTCAACTCCTTGTAAACAATTTCCACAGGAACCGCGAGATACCGGCGAGTCTGTTAATCGGTGGATCTCCAGTCGGCGTTGATAATGTGGCGGCGTTCGCAACGAGGACGACATTACCGTCGCAACCCCACATCGGACAGGGCCAAGGGTATCAATCAGTGGTACATGAAAGGGGCGCGGTTCGGCCACGTCTGTCGTCGGATCTCGCATTGTCTGCTCGCGACAGATAGACAGAAGCGACGCGAACTTCCGACGTATCTCTATCTGATGACGCCTCTGTCACTGGAAACGCCACGTCGCGTTACTTTGTTCCGCGGCCACCCTCCTACGGGGGTGTTAATAAATTTTGCGAGACAACCGCCTCTGCGTACGGGGGAACTCCGAGGGACGCTGCAAGCCGGGCACGCCTCGCTACGTCAACAGATCTGGCTATATTTCGGGCAAATGTTCGAACTAACTATTTAAATAGTTTCGTCAAATTCTGTTTAATTATCATTTCGAATGAATCCCTTTCATGTAGGAAAATAGTGTATTTTTATTTCTTGTTTCGAACACTCTTTTATCCGTGTCTGTCTGTAGGGGGTTCGCGTTTTAAGAGAAATTAAAAAGTTAAGGGTCCTCCTCCACTTTCACGGCAATTCACCTTTGTTCCCGGAAGGATTCGTAGAGGAACAATGTGTCCGACAAGTTACACCGGAGAATGTCTGTGTCGAATAATGGACTGCAAAAGGGTTGGAAGATTTCCATGGGAGAAGAAGGAAGTTCTCGCAACAACATAGTGGATACGAATGTTTTAATTTGATGATTGCCAGAGCGAGAGGGCGAAAGAAGGGGTCGTTGATGGGAGCAATGTTCAAGACAGATGGCGAACTCAGGAATTATTTGTTCCTTCCGATGCTGCGCAGGAAGATACGGTACCGAACAAAGAGGAAAGGAGTTCCTGGGCGAGACGGGATGCCTTTCTCGTCGAAAGGCTGGCCCCTTTAAAAGCAACTGGCAGTCCCGTGGAAAACAAAGGACCTTTCCATCCGGGTGTTTCTATTTTTTTGCGTGTGCGCAGGGCAGTCGCTCGCGAAAACCCATTGTTCGCCGGAACAACAACAGCCCCGACGAAAATTCACCATAGGGAAAACGGACGAGCTACGTCCGGCGATGAAAGTAGTCTTGCTCGCGAGCTCGCCTTTTCGCTTTCCTATTCGTTTTGCATCGAGACAATCGCACCGCGTCTCTCGCAGACCTACCGACCAACGAACAAGCGTTTACGTCGTACCAGCATGATCGCCTCTGTAAATTATAGCGAAACGTTTGGTTGGTCCACGGCGCGTTTACTCTCAATTAACGAGATCCGAAATTCGCGCGGAACGCGGCGAGAAAAGATATAATTGTTGGAACAATTCATTTCAGAATTATCGCAAGATAGTAAATTTTTTCTCCCGTTTACGTCTTTGTAATTAAATTTTTTCAATTTGGGAGAGATGGAATCACTGTCGTTATCCTGTCTCGCGTAATTAAAAATGCAGACTTTTATTGGGACGATCTCGGCGTTCCCTCGTTGAAACACGAGCAAATACGCTTCATCTGGCATCGTTAGCCGTGTTAGAATTCAGGCAACACGAGGGCATAATTCACGGGCACGGTTGTGTACACGGCACAGCGTACAACGGTGTCATACGAGGGTATTTAATTTCGCGTGAAACAAGCGAGAAACAGGAGGGGCAGGGTTTTTAGGCAAAGAGCACGTCCGGCGTCCCTTTTGAATACACGGCTGGTCGCTCGGAGAACCGTAACAAAGGTGAACACCGTGTCCTTTCTCGTGTCGCGTTTTACAATGAGATATCTCGTCTCGTGTTCGCGTGGCGAATGCACACGCATGAAAAGTCGCGGCGCACGATACGGGGGAGGGCAAGTTTTTCAACGGTACGCCATGATCTCTGGCCATTTAGCCAACGAGCCGGCTGGCTGTGAGTCATCTCTCTTTCCCTTTCGTCGAGGCTGGGCAACGTCTCCCTCCTCTCTTCGTGATGCATTCGATCCGTCCCCGTAACTCTTGTCCCATTCAGTTCGAGGCGACCGTAAAATCGAGCGTTTCTTCGGGACGAGCGACCGACAATGGTGATTTATGTCGCCGCCGGGAGGAACCGCGACATCTCACTTCCGTCGATCTACGTACAAGCTTTCTATCCGCAAATTCCTCCAGACGCGCAGCCGACGAGGTCGTTCGAGCGGATTCAACGCCGGTATTTTTTATGACGATCGATTTTGGCCAGTGTCGCTGACAGGT